ACGCTGCTATCCCTTCTCCTCCATTCTCCTCTCTGGATTTTGGGCACCCACGCACACATACCTGGAACGTGTTTCAAGTCACCAGGTCTGGGACTCGAACTGCGGTCGGATACTTGGGAATCCAGTGATGTAACCATTATGCCTATTATTATTATTATATACTATTATCACTATTTTTTAACTTTAAATTTGCTATAGAGCATGTGCACTCACCAGAGAAAGATAGACAGAGAGAAAGAGAGAAAGCAAGCTGCCAGGTCTGGGACTCAAACCATGGTCAGCCGTGTGGCAGTCATATGCCTCAACCACCACGCCACCTGCTGGCCCCAGACACACTAATTATAAAGAAATGCACACAGCGTACACCAGGTTTCCACCGAAGCTTGCCAGTTAGCCAGCTGAACAGCTGTGGGTTTTATTTGTGTATTTAGGACAGAGGATGGGGCCAGAATGGTTGTCATCTTCTACACTACGCCTTCATGAGTGAATATTTAGTGCCTCTTATATATTTAGGATGTCATGAATAAATTTAGAGTTCCAGCAACTCATGCATATTTAGTATCTGAATAACAATAATTCTCTTCATTTGGTCTTTCTTTTCTCTTTCATTCATTCATTCTTATTTTAAAATAATTATTTTATTTATGTATTTATCACTATTATTTTTTCTTTCACGAGTTTGCCAGAGAAAGAGAGACAGAGAGTGAGAAAGCAAGCTGCTAGGTCCAGAACTTGAACTGCTGTCGGCCATGTGGGAATTCCAGTGCCTTAACCACCACGCCACCTGCTGGCCCCTCATTCTTTCTCTCTTTCAGTTTTGTTATAGGGTGTGTGTGCTGTGTGCTTGTCAGAGAGAGAGAGGGAAAGTGAGATAGCATCCCCTAGGGGAATGGCCACACCACAATCCCTTCTCCTCCATTCTCAGCTCAGGATTTTGGACACGTACATGTACCCTGTGTGTTTCGCAAGCCACCGGGTCTGAGACTCGAACTGCTCTGTTGGCTCTGTGGGATCCAGTTGCTTAACCTCCACATCACCTGATGACCAGGCCTTCCTTTCTTTTTTCTTTTTTCTTTTTTTGCTATAGGGTGCATGTGCTCACCAGAAAGAGAGACAGAGAGACAGAAAGCGAGAAATCACCCCCCAGGGGGGATGGCCATGCTGCATCCCTTCTCCTCCATTCTCCTCTTGGGATCTTGGGCACACATGCACATACACCCAGGGTGAGTTTAAGCCACCGGGTCTGGGACTCGAACTGCAGTGGACTACATGGGAGTCCAGTGACAAAGCCATTACGCCAACTGCTGGTCCCCAGTCCTTCCTTTTTATGTTTAACTCACACACACATCTTGTACTTAGTCTCCTTACTTAATGACCACTAAAAAGATTTTGCATTTATTTTATAACCCATAAACTTATTCATTTTCTTTTCTTTTTAAAAATTATTTTATTTAACTTTATTTTATTTTAATTTGACCAGAGAGGGACAGAGTGAATGAGAGAAGGAGAGAGAGAGAGAGAGCAAGCCAGCAGATCTGGGGCTCAAATTCAGGTCAACCATGTGGGAATTCCAGCAACTTAAACACCATACCACCTGCTGGCCCCATGTTACACCTACCCCTACCCCTAAACCCTAACCCTAAACCCTAAACCCTAATCGTAAATCTAAACCCTAACCCTAAACCTTAACTCTAACCCTAAACCCTAACCCTAAACCCTAAGGCTAACCCTTTGCTTCTCCAAATCCTATTTGGTTATGACAAAAAAGCACATACGGGGTAGGGGTTGCTTTCTCCTCTTCACTCCTCTCTCTCTCTCTTTCTCTCCCTCTCTCTCTCCTGCTAGGGGAAGAAATGAAAAGTCTAGAGCAGAACCCAGGTAGGCAAGAGTTGCAGCTGAAGGCCCAGAAGAGTGCTGGGGGGCTGCTGGCCCAAGGTCTGATAGCGAAGCAAAGAGAAACCCAGTAGCCCGTATGCAGCTGGGACAGGTGGACTGCTGATGTCTGAACTGGGAGCTGTGGGCTTCCCCAGGCCCCTAAGAAGGGGGAAGTCGGGGAGAGGTGCGGGGAAGACTGGTTCAGACCCAGCCTTTGGATCCTATGACTGAATCAAGCCACCCTGGCTCAGCCTCTGGGGCACAGCTGGTAACATACGGCACTGCAGAGCTAGAAGCCACATGTGGACCACGGTTCGAGTCCCTGACTGTGCCAGCCTGAAACACTGTGGTGCAAACCCATGTGCCCAGGGTCCTGGTGAGCCAGAGGACTGGAGGAAGGGGATCGCAGAGCGACCGGCACCTGTGGAGGGTGATTCCACCACCCCCACCCCCGTCTCTCTCCCTGCATGACCTTTAACAACAGCTAAAGACTAGCTCCTACCAGGACTCCCCAGTTCTCCTGCCAATCTGTAACTTCCTTTAAGCTGTTTTTCCTCCTTGTTTTCTTTGCAGCTCAAGGATTAAAATGATTAGGGTTTAAGTAATGCAAGGGAGAGGTGCAAGGGGGATTGGTAATTTATTCAAAAACTCCCTGGGAGAGAGCTGCCCTGATGAGTAGGGGGTAGGTTGGCTGCACCATCTTTCTTGGGGTCCTGGGAACCTCCGAGAGAGACAGGACGCGCAGGCGCCGCCTCAGTGCAGGTGCGACCGCTGGACGGGGCTGGGGCGGGGAAAGAGCTCTCAGCGGGCTGCTCAGTGTGGTCTCTCTGGGAATACTTGTGGGTTTTTTTGTTTTATTTTGTTTTGTTTTTCTAGGTTGCTTTGCAGTTAGAGGTGTAGGAGCCGACCGCTGTGGGGAGCAGTCCTGTGTCCCCGCAGGCTCCCACGGTTTTCTCTGTCATTGCACATCATTGTCTGCTCTCTGCTCTCCCCCACAGACAGTGCATGTCCCCCCCCCCCAGCAGGTCTGTGTCTGATTCACCTCGTCCTGCCACACAATGTGGCCCAGCGAGGGGCTCGACACTTGGAAGTTTTGGTTTTTTTTTGGAGAGATTTTCATTCACTGTAGGGCGTGTGGGCGCCAGACAGACAGAGAGAGACATAGAGACAGAAAGCGAGAAATCACCCCCCAGGGCGGATGGTCACGCTGCAATCCCTTCTCCTCCATTCTCCTCTCGGGATCTTGGGCACGCACGCACACGTGCCTGGCGTGAGTTTTAAGCCACCGGGTCTGGGACACAAACCGCGGTCGACTACGTGGGAGTCCAGCGACATAGCCATTACGCTAACTACTGGTTCCCAGACACTTGGAAGTTTCTCAAAGAGATACTTGTTGGATGAATGAACAAATGGACACTTTCTCCAAACCACCCTGAGCTCTGGATGGGTTTCACAAAGGACCGAAGGCCTGCCTGCAGCTCTTGGCTGGTACCCCTTACCAAGGGTTCGGTGCCGCCCAGATGCCAGGGGGCGGCGACCCCTTGAGCTTTGGTTTAGATATTTATGTGCATTTTCTGGTGCTAAAAAGTCAAGTTTTCAAAGTGGTGTCCGTTACTCTGAGATGGTACTCGCCATTTGAGAGACCAGTTCTAGGATAGACATGTTTTTCTTTTTTTGGAGAGGTTTTTGCTATAGGGCTTGTGCACTTGCCAGAAAGAGAGAGACAGAGAGACAGAAAGCGAGAAATCCCCCCCCAGGGGGCATAGCCGCACTGCAACCCCTTCTCCTCCATTCTCATCTTGGGATCTTGGGCACGCACACACACGTGCCCGGCGTGAGTTTAAGCCACCGGGTCCGGGACTCGAATCATGGTCGATTACATGGGAGTCCAGCGACATAGCCATTACGCTAACTACTGGTCCCCAGGATAGACATTTTAATGTAAATTTTCCCGGCATTGATTTCCCTATACTACATTGCTCACCCCGCCTCCCCCCCAGTGCTACTGTTTTCCCCAGTATGTAATTTGGGTGTTTGTGTTGTGATGTCAGCATCTCCAGCTCACCTGATTACTTGGTAACGAGATGCCATCACCTTTGGATTCTCCCAGAACCTCCCCTGAAGTGTCGGGCCAAGGAACCTTCACTGAGCCCGCCCATGCTGTTCGCTGTTGAGCAGGTCCCCGGCTGCGTGGGTGATGGGTGTGGGTGTGGGGCTGGCTGGAAGCGAGACCCGGAGGACTGAAGCAGAACCCGGAAGCGAAGCGCGCACGGAGCTATCCTGCCACCTGATCCAACGTTCCTTCTCACTCCTTTAGCAGCTCCCCTCCCTCTGGTAACAATGGAAGGAAGGGGGAAGTGTGGGGAAATCAGGTCCTGTAATTGATTTCGAAGGGCTCATTACCAGGACCCAGGAGCAGAGAGAAAGCAGCTGGGGGACAGGAGGGTTAAAGAAAGCACACCAGGATGAAGAGCTGGGGAATGAGTAAGAGATATTTGATTGTGGGAGGGAGCCAAACACTAGACGCTGAATGGGCAGGCACGGGGAGAGCTGAGGTTGGCAGCCAGGACCCAGGACTGCCCGAGCAGGGCTGGGCCAGAGAAAGCTACCGAGCAGCCTGGGATTGTGCAGACAGGGCTGCTGCCTGATACTGAGTATCGGTGCCCGAGGGAGGGATGAGTCACTCCCATGCATCCAAGTTTAGAATGAAAGCGCCCCGGGGAGGGCAAACACCTTTCCTGGGACAGGGCTTGCTGACAGTCCCACAGTGGAATCCCAGCCCGACCCAGGAAGCTGAAGAGCCCCCGGACCTGCAGGAAGGACTCACTGCCATGGAGACCGAGAGCGAAGGGCTGTTTCTAACTCCCCTTCCTTCTCCCAGGAGCTCGCAGCCAGATGTCCACCCTTTGTGTTTCTCGGGGTTGGCACAGGACAGAAGCCACAGGGCTAAGTGCCAGGCTATGACTGTGACTGTCACATTTTTCTGCAGGAGGCAGGGACAGGAGCCTGGGAACTCGAGAACCTTCTGGATTATGGGTGTGACTGTGAAACCCGGGAACAAATCTGGGTAGATTTACTAAAATACTACCTGTTTGCGTGTTGAACTATCCCCTGCTTTCGCTCACCTAGTCTGTCCTCACTGTTCTTTGAAGAAATACCTCCGCCCTGACAGGTAGCCCGGAGCTGTAGGTCACAGGACGGTTTAGCCCAGATGTTTTTGAATGGTGGCTAACCCCGGAAGGAAAGGCCTGGAGCTCACTTTGTTGCGTAAGTGTGCCTGTGGGCACCCCCTGCTTTCAGAGGGCCAGTGACCTACCGCCACCCCAGCTGCAGGGGATGGGGGGGTATGGCCTGTGCAGCCTTGGCTCAGCCAATCAGAACTGTGCTGGGTTCAGTCCTTCATTTACATAGATAGCTTCAGGGACCTGGCGCTCCAACCAACCAATCAGAATGCGGCAGTTTCAACTCTTCATTTGCTTATAGGACCTGAGAAAGAGGAGCGGGAAATTTTCCTTTACAAAAGACCAGTAAGAGATTTTTGGTATTGGTGGAGAGACAGAGAGACAGAAAGCGAGAAATCATGGGACCAGCAGTTGACATAATGGCTGTGTCGCTAGATTCCCATGTAGTCCACGACGGTTCGAGTCCTGGACCCGGTGGCTTAAATTTACACCGGATGCGTGCCCAAGATGCCAAGGTGGGGGGTGATTTTTGGCTTTCTGCCTCTTTCTGGCAAGCACACATGCCCTATAGTAAAAGCCTCTAAAAAAAGAAAAAAGAAAAGAAATACCACACTGGGAATGGTGTGTATGTGCCCAAAATCCCTAGAGGAGAATGGAGAAGGGATTATGGTGTGGTCATTGTCCCTGGGATGCGATTTCTCACTTTCCCTCTCTCTGTCTCTGTCTCTCTCTATCGAGCACATCCTATGGCAAAAACCTAAAACAAACCAAAACAACCCTTTATTTGTTCACCATTCTCTGAGTCATCCGTTTGGGCTGGGCTCAACTGGGTGTTTCTTTTGCTGTTATTATCTGGGATCATTGATGCCACCCCAGTCTTCTGGCAGCTCAGCTGGGGCTGGTGGTTTCATTCATATTTCTGGGAGTTAGGACTGGGTGGGGCAACCTCTAGAACGTCACCTTGGCAGCTGGTACCAACAGACAGAGGTCAAGACCCATGGTGCAAACACTTGTTCAAGGTGCTTCCTGCATCATCTTTGCTAATGGCCTATTGTCTAAAGCAAGTACATGACCAGGCCCAGATTCAGCATGGAAGGGACTTCACAGAAGTCCAGAAACAGGGCAGGTGCCGTTCCTGTAACAATCTACCACGCTTACATACTATTCTGCATGTCGCTTTCCCCCAGTAGTACAGTTATTGTCTAGCTGATATATTGATAGTTACCATAATTATGTTTGTAATGACTATACAACGGAATCAAAGGACTACCCCCAGGGCCAGCAGGTGGCATGGTGGTTAAGGCGCTGGACAGTCGCACATGGGTGACCATGCTTCAAGTCCCGGACCTGGTGGCTTGCTTTCTCACTTTCTCTCACTGTGTCTCTCTCTGGTCCAATTAAAATAAATGAATGCATAAATAAGGTTCATTAATAATTATTAAAATATAATGATAATACATAAAATTAAATAAATATTATTTATTTAATATTATTTATTAAGTAATAAATCTTTTGGGAAAATACTATTTACAAATATACTTAACTATTATTACTCTTTTTTTGCACTGTTTTAAATAATTTATTAGTGGGGGCTAGAAGGTGGCATTGATGGTTGAGGGTCCTGGACTCCCACATGGTCGACTACAGTTCGAACACGTGGCGGCTTTCTTTCTCTCTCTCTCTCTCTCTCTCTCTCTCTCTCTGTGTCTCTCTGGTCAAATTAAAAAAATAAGTAAATAGGCTGGGGCCAGCAGGTGGCATGGTGGTTAAGGGCACTGGACTCCCACACGGCTGACTGCGGTTGAGTTCCAGACCTGGCAGCTTGCTTTCTCACTTTCCCTCTTTCTCTCTCTTGCTTTGTCTCTCTCTGGTTAAATGTAAATAAATAAATAAAGTTGAATAAAAGAATTCTTTAAAGAAATTAAATAAATAGGGACCAGTAGAGAGGAGATTGACCCCGTAGAAGGTCATTAGTCAAGATGTCTTTAGCACCTGAGCCTCCAACATTTAAAAATGAACCACGTGGGACCGGCAGTTGGCGTAATGGCTATGTCGCTGGACTCCCATATACTCGACCGCGGTTTGAGTCCCGGACCCAGTAACTTTAACTCACATTGGGTGCACGTGCGTGTGTGCCCAAGATTTCAAGAGGAGAATGGAGGAGAGGGATTGCGGTGTGGCCATCCCCCCTGGGGGGTGATTTCTCACCTTCTGTCTCTCTCTGTCTTTCTGGTGAGTGCATGCGCCTTATAGCAAAAAACCTCTCAAAAATAAATAAATAAATAAATAAAATTAAAAAAAGAAAGAAAGGAAAAAAAAGAACCATGCAAAGAGAAAGACTTTCACAACTCAGGGCTCAAAAGTGTGCGCAGAAGGACCTTATTCCGAGCTGTGAATCAGAGGTCTTCATTAACCCTCACGAAGCTGTAATGGCTTTTGGACTGGTAACCCTTTCGCTTTGCGTGGCTTATATTGGTTATCTACATGCAACACAGAGTGACAACGACCTCTGTGAAGCTATTGCGAGTGAGCGACACAATTACATGAGGAGGAAAACACCTAAGTGGGACTCGCAGCTCTGGTTACTGCAGACGAAGCTGCGTGGAGGCTCTGAGCTCTTCACACGAAGGACCTACTGAGTGCACGCCATGTTTCTTGTTCCAGACCATGCTGACGAGGAGAGAAGGGAACACTAGCAGCCAGGCCACGATAATAAACTGCATCTCATTCTCTTTCCACAGAAACAGTGCCTCCTATTTTTCTTCCATTAAATAAACATAAACATTTAAACATTTCATTTAAAAAGTCATTTTTTGATTATTAGGTTTTGTATAATAAAAAGTACTCAATGCTGTTACATTTGCATGATATTTTTTAATATTTTAAGATGAATCGTATCTTTGCAACTGTTAATACAGTTGAGTTTTGCTTTGCTATTTGCAAAGGAAATGTTGCTTTTCCTACCTGGCATAGAACCTGTATTTGTTTTGTTTTGTTTTGAGGGGTTGAGAACCTATATTTGTAAAATAAGAGGAATAGTCATTTTTTTCCTTTTCTATTTTTTGGGGGAGAGGTTTTTTTTTTTGTTTTTTTTTTTTTGTTTGTTTGTTTGTTTTTGCTATAGGGTACATGTGCTCACCAGAAAGACAGAGAGAGACAGAAAGACAGAAAGTGAGAAATCACTCCCCGGGGGGGTGGCCACACCGCAATCCCTTCTCCTCCATTCTCCTCTTGGGATCTTGGGCACGCACGCACATGTGCCTGGTGTGAGTTTAAGCCACTGGGTCCAGGACTCAAACCATGGTCAACTACATGGGAGTCTAGCGACATAGCCATTACGCCAGCTGCTGATCCCGAGATAGTCATTTTTAAACTGGAAGTCAACATTAAAGTGTGGTAAGTGAAAAACAAACAAAAAAAATAGGGACCAGCAGGTGGCATGGTGGTTAAGGTGCTAGACACTCCCACGTGGCCAATCACCGTTTGAGTCCTGGACCTCGTGGCTTTCTCTCTCTCTCTGTATGTCTCTCCCTGGTTAAATTAAAATAAATGAATGAATGAGTAAAAATAAATAAATAATTCTTAAAAAATAAGTAAATACAGTTAAAAAAATAATTATTTAAAAAGTAAGTGATTAAACACATTTTTTGAATACCTGCTCTGTGTAAGGAGTTATTCAAGGGCATCGGCATGAGCTTCGCTTACGTTCTCTCAGGAAATACGCGCAGACACCCCCATACGTGATGTGTGCTGATGGAAAGGGCTGAGAGGCGGTCGTGGGCGGGGCTTGTTATTACACGTCTGTTTAAAGACATATTTTGATGATTCCTTTTTACATCACATCCTTGTTGTGAGTAGTAAGATTAGGGGGCACGGCTTATCAGTATTATTAAAGCTTTTCTTTTTCTAAGAGTTTTTGCCTTAGGGCACAAGCTCTCACCAGAGAGATAGAGATAGACCGAGATAGTGAGAGGGAAAGTGAAAAATCACTCCCTAGAAGGGATGAGCACACCACAAAACCTTCTCCATTCTCCTGGTCCGTCAGCACTCACGCATGCGTGCCTGCCTGGAGTGATTGTCAAGCAACAGGGTCCAGAACTCAAACCAC